GGCGTCGCCATCTTGAATAATTGTGAAGTGTTACGGTTGCCCTATTGTTATTAAACAAAAGCTCTTTGTGTCAGAGCAATAGAAGATGGCGGCGCCCGCGAAATTTGAAAGTGAAAATAAGCGATTTTAAAATTCACTTTTCCTGATATAAACACTTTTTTTAAGGACAAATTTCGAACAAATTTGTTTATCAACATAATTTTATCCGATTTAAACTTATTCTGTAGTAAGAGTGGAGGTTCCCTTTAAGGACAATGTTTTACGTCTCTTCATGGAGACGGGACGGCCTTTTCTTCGTGGTCATCCGAGCCTCGCTACGATCTAGCCGTTTGTAGGGCAAAGGCAGTACCTTCATTTCTCAGTTATTTTAAGACCCTAAGTGTTGGTCCGGTCCCTGGGATCGAACCCCCTGAACACCCGCTCTGCAGTCCAGTACTCCAGTGCTGTACCGACTAAGATAGACCTGCCGCAGTAGCCATTAATGACGGAATCGCCCGTAAACAAAATATTACCTTCAGTCTGGGTACCAACATGATGTGATATCTTTTCTGGTGTGATACTTTCTCTTTCCTGTGCCCCTGCAATGAAGATGAGACAATTGCAATCATCCATTTAATGTAGAAAATGAAAATGTCTTATTGCCTGCTGACGTTTCAAAATATTTTATTAGTAGTAGGCGCAGGTGTATTTTTTCTCTACATACAGTGATAGAGCTTGTCTGTGAGTAAGTAGGCCACTTTTGACACCTATTATCGGATCTGCGAGGGATTCTTCACAGCGTTGCCATGAAAATACCGTCTTCTCCAGAACCCACAGAAGACATATATAGTTGCTGGTGAGAAACCAACAAGATTGTGCAACAGTAATCTCTTTGTTTCCCAAGCCTAATCTATGGGGATCAAAGGTACATGATTGCTACCTTTTTGGTTGTACATACAAGACTATTAACTCGATGTAAGGTTCGTTTCACTCTTAGTCTGTTTTCAAATTATTTTTTTTCTAAAATCACTTGGCCGTTCCCTCAAAAGTCATATGAATCTGCCCTAACGTTAACTGAGACTGAGACTGAGACTGAGACTGAGACTGTTAACGAGAGCTTCGCTTTTATTCCTGGCTAAATCGATTTAGTATATACTGAAACAGTGGATATCGTTTTTCAAGCGCTCTGATTGGCCTCTCAAACTCGGGATATCCAGTGCTATTCAATGATTCCCCTCCAGCTCCTCCAAACGAGCGAGGCCAAACTCGTGTAAGCTACGAGCAAAATGGCTTCCCAGTTTGCTGCCATAACAAAGAAATTTCACAAATAACCAAACAAGCTGTTCCCGAAATACACGAAAAAAATGACGAAATGCGAAGCGGCGAGGCATCCTAAGAGAATGTGCTCAAGTTGTCATCTCCACTTACTTTATTTCTGAATACATCATTCTCTCAAGGTCAACTACCATGTATATGGAAGTCGGCCCACATCACTCCAGTTCACAAGAGAGGGAGCAAAAATCTTGTGGAAAACTACCGCCAAATATCACTGACTTGTATTCAGTTGTATGCAAGATTGCAGAAGCTGTCGTAAGGATCCGTGTGGTTGACGTTTGGTCAGATCTCAATCTTTTTAACCCAAACCAATTTGCGCATCTGAGGGACAAATCTACTTTGGCACAATTACTTACACGTTACAACGACTGGGCAAAGGCTAGGAATCCGGTTCGCAGCAAACGGATATCATCTTCTTAGGTCTCTATAAGGCTTTCGACAGCGTGCCACATGAGCGTTTGTTGCCGAAGTACAACGGCATAGGATAGATGGCTCTTTATTACCGTGGATTAGAATTTTTTTGACGAATAGAAGGCAGCGTGTCGTGTTAAGGGGTAGTTGTTCAGATTGGTCACCTGTGATTTCAGGCGTGCGCCAAGGACCAATACTCGGCCCAATCTTATTTATCATGATATTTCGACAAACATAACATCAACAGTCAAATCTACGCTGATGACACCAAAATCTATCGTACGATCAATGAACCTGATAAGGATATACCAGCCTTAATTACAGCTTGACCTGAATAGATTAAGCGATTGGGCTAACAAGTGGCAGTTGCGCTTTAAGACCGAAAAATGTGAAGGCATGCGGGCAACGCACAGTAGGGACAGATCTAAGCCAAGTTACTCTCAAGGTGTGCAACTAAAATCTGTTGAAAGTGTCAAGGACCTAGGGGTCAAAATAAACTACGATCTATCTTGGGGTAAACACGTCTCCTACATAGTAAACAAGGCGAACAAAGTGTTAGGTGTAATTAAGCGATCACTCGGAAAAGATCGGTATGCGTTTCCTTGCCTAATCCTTAGAAAAAGTCCAAAGAAGAGCATCACGGTTCGCGTTAAAGCAAAAGCGCGGAGAAATGAGCTATGAAGACTGCTGCCGCTTACTGAATTGGCAAACTCTGGAGAAACGTAGAGAGTTCTTGTCTCTAGTTCAGTGCTACAAGATAGTTTTTGGAATAGTTAGCCTTCCTTTTTCGGACTTTTTTGAACTTACGATTATAAGCTCTATGTAAAAGTTGCCATCCTAAATTGCTACAAATATTCTTTCTTTGTTACGTACGGATTGTCAATGCGTGGAATAATTTGCCCAAAGATGTTGTACAAGCAGGATGGCTGACTTTATTTCGTAACAGATTAAGGATTTATATGAATATTGATTGATATGATTGTAAATAGTTTTTATTATGATGTGCAAATGATGTTTTTTATTCTAGTTTTTAGGTTTTAGATTTTTCTTTCTGTATATAATGTTTTAGATTCTAAATTTTACCTTTTCATCTTTTATTTTGGGGAATCTTTTATAATAGGGTTGACCTCTAGATATCCCCTTTCGAGAGATATTTTGTAACTTTAGTTTTTACCTCTTGAATAAAGTATTGTATTGTAAATATCCACCACTAGCCACCTCTACGTCAGTGAATAATTGTTATATATTATACTAGCCTTGACTTACCACTATAATTGGCCAAGCATTCGAAAGTGGTAGGATTACTGAGGATGTAAGCTGTTAAAGAAGCGGCCATAGCACTTGCAAATGGTCTCCAGGCATTTGTGTCAGATTTCTTGCCGTCTGCGAAGTCAGCAACTCCTTTAATAACAACCCATTCCAAGTTCAACTCGTGCGCTGCTTTGTAGAGACCTAATTAAAAAGAAATTTTTACTTCTGTTAGAAAAAGAAGAGACATATAGCAGTCAACTACAGAGGCCCAGGAATTCCTGTTTACCAGTTAAACTCAAATAAACAAGGCAAAAAAAGTTGACAACCAATGTTTAACTCTAACAATGCATGCAATAATTTGACATATAGGGGGTGTTTACATGAGAAAACTCGCACCGGCGCGAGTTTCATCCCGGGATGACTGTTTGATTTCGTATTACGACACGATGATGAGTCATTTCATATCTCGGTTATTTGAAGTTACACTTCATGTTGATAAAATACACGTGCGATTCAAAATCGCAAAGATTACGCATGCGCTACCCGTTCCAGTTCACCAGCAGACCGCTATCACACCGAAGTGGGTGGTCGTTTCGCGTTTACATGATACCGTTGCGAAATTTCGTACCGGAGTGAAATTCTCGCTCCGGTACGACAACCGGGGTGAACTCACGCCGGGGTGACTCTCGCTGGCATGACATTTTGTGATGGTATCATGTAAACAAATACAGAGCCACGAGAGGGAACCGGATTGAACTCGCGCCGCCGCGAAAGTCGCCCCGGTGTCATGTAAACACCCTCTCACTTTGGGCTCTAAAGTAGCGACGACTAGGTGCCGATAAAAATTTCACATGTCCCATAACTTTGCCGGAAGCGCCTTCCAACTTTGGCTCCGGAAGGAGATAAATTAATAAATCACAAATGAATAAGTAAGGAAGAAAAATATATAAACAAACAATTTTAAAAAGTGATTCGCTTGAAACATCTGCTCATATTTTTAAAATCATTTTTTCTGCCATCAATGGAATCCACAGAGATCTTCACCATACGAAAGACGAATTCCATAATTGTTTTGTTTTTTATTTCAAACATTTCTAAGTTCTTAACAACCTTGCCAACCTTCCTCCTCGTCTATTTTCAAAACACTTTCGCCTAGTTCTCGGCGGCAAAGTTTCAGTTTATCAGACGTCATTTGTTCCGTTAGGCTTAGTCAGTGATTCGGCTCACTTTTTCCGATTGCTGTGAATAATTTCTTCTATTTTCTTGAGGAACTTGAGTTCACGACACTCATGCAAAAACAGCTAGGCTGCTGCCACGCTGCCTGGAAACGAGGTTCCGATTGTATATTGGGGCAGATCCCACGCAGACGTTCTTTTGGCTCGTCACACAATCCTCCCCAACGAGAAGAAGCCCTAAGAACGTCTACTTGGAAATGGTAAGCGCCGGCTCGTCATGAAGAATAAGTTGGCGGAATTTTGAGCCACACAGACTAATATTTTGAATGGCTGATAATGTGACTTATTATCTTAATCATTTCTCGCCCTTCCCTTATGGTTTTCTAACACTATAATTGCTTAACTTCGATTGCAACTTGAAATACCGAACCTTTCTTAATTTTTCTAAAAGATTAGTTCCTGTACGAGATGCCCGTCTTCAGCTCTGTCTTACCAGGCATTGCACAGTTATCTTGTCGGTTGTTCACACTTTTGGCTAAACAGTTGAACTTGATATCTCACCTTGGCCCTCCATTTCTATAGCAGTGGCATCACCGTATCGCTTGGTAAGTTCTGCGCGTCGGTCTTTATTATCAACCACTTGTGGGCCGCTCAAAATCACGCCGTTAGTGATTACATTCACCTCCACCTTCTCATCTTTCAACGGTGGCTTCCAGCCGGCATTCGCGTCTAACAAAAGCTTTGAAAGATGAGTGTTCAACGGAACAGCATCGTTCCGGTCTTCAATGGCACTTTCAGTTATTTTGAGTAAAGAGTACGTCCTCAACTTTGATGAAATTATCACATCCCCTAATTTGAAATTATCACATCCCCTAATTTGAGGTTGTCCTTTAAACCACCGCAAAATCCTACAGAAAATACAGCTTTGGGACTCAAGACTCTTGCCGCATTTTTCACAGCAATGATGGCATCATCAGGACCCATTTTACACCTTTGTAAGGCAATTTTCATCGTTCCCTCCTCTCCACCAATTTTCCCAAAATATATGGGTCCAAGTTCGACGTTATAACTTTTAAAATATCCCTGATTTAATTGAGAAACACAACTCAAAAATTCGCATTCCTTCACTGTCAGCCACAAAGCATCGACTGGGAGTTCAACCTGGTCCCAAGGCTTGCTCTTTGCGGGAAGATCCTTCATCTTCAGTTGTTTCTTGGTGGGCAGCTTAGTGTAATCGATCTCTGGTGGATTTATGTTGGTGTTGCTGCTGCTGCTGCTGCTGCTGCTGCTGCTGCCAGGGAAGGAAGTTGATTCACTGTGGATTTCGGAGTCTGACATTTCTGAATAATATGAAATATAGCAAAATATAGCAAAATAAATATGATAATAATGTCAAAATGGAGTGAACAGCTGAGTGGTCAGCGCATTCCCGGGTTGTAACGTCTTTCGAACCAGTCGCCCTTTGAGCTTCAGCTCGTGCAACAACTATAACAGAAACATCGACTACTTACAAATGTTGCCTTTTTAAAACAGGCGATTTTGTGCTCAAAGCCCAGCTTGCTTTGCGATCTTGTTTGGACTTGGTACTATCTCGCACAAGGTTTTTTTTAATCAGAGTTCATCATTTGCTCTTTTAACAACAGTGAGCTTAGAAATGCACCAATGGCAAAGCCTTTTATGTCATGCACTGGCCAGTGAACAGTTTTTCGGATTAATAATAATAATCTAAGAACACCTGGTAGTTTTGGGACGTTTTCTCGTTGCAGTGACGAAATTTGCAAGTTTATGGCAAAAACAGCCTCATTAGCCGAGATAAGGCTCAAATATGTTGAACTGACATGTATTTGGTAAGATTTCTACCGAATTTCGCAGCCATGAGACCGCAAAATTTCAGAAGCCCTGCGCGGAGGGGTGGTAACAGTGGTTTTTCATTTTCCGGGAGTTGCTATTTATAAATTTATTGCTTTGTCCTCTATAAAGTCGTCACCGAAAATTCAAGAGTAGCGTTGTATTTTACTGTAAAATACAATCAGATAATCCTAGATGAAATACATTTGTCCGGCCAAAAACGGGTTGTGTCCGAGCAAAAATAGGTTTGACCGGACGACTTGACCTGCGCCAGCCGCGAAATTATTTCAAGCCCGGTATACATTTTATTCGATTCCAAAATGACGAATTCTACGAAGGGCCTGAGATCTCGGCAAGAGGGGCCAGCTCGCCTTACCATATAAACAGAATGACATTTTTAAGAGGATATAACTGCATGAGCCGAGCCAGCCCGATATAAAAACGAAAGCGGGCCAGCCTGGCTTACCGGGCTGGCTAACCTCAGGCTCTGAGATACAAATAGGATGTTCTTAGACCTGAAACAACATACGGGAACACTTTGGAACACGCCGAAACAACCCCGAAAAACCTGGCAAAACGAAAAATGAGAAAGACAGACAGAAACCCTGGCCCTTATCTGTACAATCTGTCATTTGACTTTGACTACCTTTAGTAATGCATTCATATTATGTTTCCAAAATTATTACATTTAAGGTATTCAGATTCGCTGGCACTTATAATTGTCATTAATAAATCAGAGAACATTAATTCGGTTATATTACAAAGTATTCCGGGGGTCAAGAGTGAGATTTCGGACTCAACATCTCTGGGCACTCGACCCAAACTGATTGCCTGCGTCGCAGACGCTCTAAACCTTCTGCAACGCAGGCTACAAACTGATGGAACGTTTCCATTTCGAATTCACGCATGACGTCTAGGAAATGTTCAGGAACACTGGGAAGAGGTCAAGAATGCGGATAAATCTCTTCTTGTGTAAGGGGCCGACCATTTGTCTTTTGAGGGGCGGTGGGGAGGGGTTATGGTATTTTTTCTTCCCAAACCTCTGGTGATAGAATTTTTTTCCCTAACATACAACGGTGTAAGATTTTTTTACAACATTATACGCCACGAAAGATATTTTTTCAAGCTAATTTATACAACAGGGTAAATTTAAGTTGATGTGACAACCATAGACCCGCCTTTACCAGTAATCGAACCAGCTCACTTCCTTTCAGGGCCTACTTCCTATATGTGACCCCTGTCACACTAATTGTTTCGCTCAGCCAATTAGATGCCAGCTATCACATGAACAGTTGATGCCCATATTCACGCGCACAGCTCAGCAAAAATCGTCTCTTCGTCGAACAAAATGCATGTCACTTCTAGCCTGGATTTTTCTTCAAGAATTGGGATTTTGCTAAGCTGTATCGACTAGATCACCGTTTAGGAAGGGCTAACTTGATCTTCCAACTGCATACAAGCTTTACGAGTTCGAGTTTTCTGGACAGAACTTCCACGAAGTGATGTTGCACCGGTCTCGGTCAAACCCTGTCCTTGGAACATTTGCCGACAATAACCCTCCTCTTCAATGCCGCTGCTTTCTACTCGTCTTGAACTTTCGATAGCCTCTCGCTGTACCCTCACTTTGGCCGTTTCGACCCTCTTGGCTGGCACTTCACCGTCAAAGTTCCTCCGCAGGAAATCATCTTAGGCCAGTATTCCTTTGGGATCAGAGTTGCTCTGCCATTATGATTCAGGTAACTTAATATTTTTATTATATTGTGCCTTCAACGACATCTGTTTTTTGCAATATTGTGCATGTGCCTTTACTAAACGCTTCGAGAAATGGAAAGTTATTTTTGAGTTCACTAACTGTAAGAAGAAGGACTTGGCGCCACAAATCAGAAATCAAATCTGTGAAGATTAGGTCTTCGAGGTTTTTCAAATAATGGATTGAATTTCAGTTTCAATTGTTTAGTCACATCTAATAGAATACTTAAATGGATTTCTAGCATATCTGGTATCATATGAGTTAAGTGTCATTGTCAGAAAAAACCGGGCAGCCGCCACGGGTCGAGGTCGGCCAATTCCTTTCAAATTCCTTTAAATTACAGATTACCTTTCTGATATGATTAAAAAATACATACCCTTTTTAATCCGATTGGCTTTTCTTTCATGTGAGTTTGGCCACCCCTCTTGTTTTTGGCTAATTTGCATAAGATTACCGAGTCAATTTGGGGTAACTTGTGCAAGTTATTTCTCCTACCCCTTGTCAGTTTTCTGTGCATTTTTTATTTATTTAGATTATTTGAGATTCGATCCACTTGTATTCATGTCATGAATGATTCTGGATTGTTCTTACCTCTTTGGTGAGCGTGCAAATTTCCATCTTGTGTGACTTTGGCAGATTCACCAATTTTAAGCCATTTTCAAATTACATTTTCTCAAAACTGCGCAGATAAAATTTCAAGTCAAAGTGCTTTTGGCACAGTCCATTTATAACTGTTTAATGTTCAGTAAGTTTTAGATTTGGACCTCTGAAACCTTATGCAAGATTTGCCTTGTAAGTGCACCCAGATTGGCAAGAATAACATGAAATTTCCCAACATTTTTTACGTACCAGGCAGCCTTGGCGAACATGCTTGTTCGAATACTTGTGTTTCATCAGAAGCATATAACCCCGAAGCATCTAGAATCCCCTTATCTGTTTAGAACCATGTTCGGGTTTTTTAGCCGACGCAGCCGTCCAATCAGAAGCACGGAAAATTAGTTTGCCCAAATATGGAATGAGAGAATTCGACCTTGTTCCCTTCACAGTGGAGCACTCATCCTTTTCTGAACTGCGACCAAGTCAGCAACCGTTTGACAATTTTCAGCTAAATGTACATTTCACACATTATGCTCAAGGAAAGTACGATATTGAAAGGAAATTTATGTATTTATAAATGTTTCATAGACGTTTTATATATTTTTGATAGAGTTTTCAAGAAAAATTAGGAAATACGCCCAATCCGAGACAGATAATTTTAGTGTTAATTTTTGCCATGTGCTCAGCCAATTTTACTTGTGGGAATAGATCCTGACGATCCAGTCAGTGTTACGTGAATTGTTTTTAACTGTAAACTTATGAGTTTTCCAATAAAAATTTTTAAGAAACAATTTGTCTGTTTAGTGTTTTCTGTTTGTTCATTCATAACATTAGTTGAAAACATGATTGCTGCATCTAAGTCTTAACTTGTGTTTCATCCTTCTTATTCAGTGTCTTATTACACGCATCACCTCTGCGAAGATGTCAGGGATTTTTTATACAATTTATACTTTCCAGTTCAGCAACTAGTGAATTTTTTTTGAAAATATGTGTTACTGGTTATTGTAGATAGATAGTAAGTGATTTTTTAAAGGTTATTTGCACTAATGGTCGGGCAAAAACTGTTTTTGAAGTAACAACTTTAAGAAATCGCTTCTCTTTTAATATGGTGCATGTCATTGGTGGTTGACTTTGTCTTGTTAGGAGGAACTAACTCAGTCTTGGTCATTTGGGGATTAATACTGTATTCCATTTTTTTGTCAAATATTACCTCATAAAATAGTAAATGCTTTTTGCACCGCATCATTTACATTGCAATACAAGTTTTCCTTGCGCAACAATCTCGCTTATCAGTAATTCCATATTAGGAAGTAAATTTTGATTGGTTCCCTAAAAAACCCAAGCATTGCGACAAAGTTATACGCTTCAGGGTTATATGCTTCTGGTTTCATCCATAAATATGTTCTGAGTCTGCTATTTCACTGAGCCTGACAAAGTTTAAAATTTAGTTTGCAAAAAATTAATATACCCTACAGCTTTTCGCCATGTTTATTAGCAATATTTGTCACGAAATGTAATCATTACTTTTGCCTTCATTGAGTTTCACGTGCGATATTTTCTGCAAGATTTACTGCTAAATATTGGACATAAAATCTAGTTTGCGTGTGTTTGTGTCTAATTTATGTCTAAAAATGTCTAGAAAAATCCGTCGATATTGGCTCAGAGAGGGAGAATTAGCTAGACTAAACAAAATTGTAAAAGCACTATCTCGTATCTGATAACAAACGCAATGTAATTTGAGCCGTTACTTTTACATCGAGGGCCACGTAATCAGAACATTTGCCTTCCCGTTAAAACATGAGTATTCTGGTGAACTGTTCTTTTTTAATGGGGATCCATCTGGTGACAAAGTAGGTATAGGAAGTCGAAGAAGTCCTCACAATCGCGCTGCACCCAGCTACTTGATGTTGCTCGTTAACAGAGGGCTACGTGCAATGACTGTTCTTTCAAAGCATAGAAATTCACTTGGGAAAGATTGGGCTGTTCGTGAAAATGACAAGTGTAGAGGGTCCACAAAGGAAGTTACCTTATTCATGCTGAGTAGCAGCTGCTTTTTCCATGGAAATTAATGGAGTACATGCCAAAGCAGTTCCCACTGGACTGTTGGATCAGATAAGAAAACGGTTAAGTTCACTGGGAAAGA